CTGTGAAGAAAGAAATTTCTTCACGGAAAAAAGGAATAGATGCGAATTAATAAAGAAATGCTGGAACAATGAAAAACGAGCGATTACATAACTGTCTCATTACCAGTCTATACTCTAGCAAGCTAATCTCCTAATACCTTTTATAGGCTAAAATTTCCCGTTGTCCTGGCTTCATCATTGATCCGGCTTCCAGACCGATATCTGGCTTTTCAAGCTTTTCTATCCAACCGAACTCTTCGTCTCCAGCATCTTCGCCTACTCTCCCCAAAGTAAGCCAATCGAAGTCATCTGACACGAATCCGTTAGCTGTCGATCCCCAAGCCACATCCACTGGCTTAGCCAACATAGATGATAACATTGCCGGAGTTGATTTGCTTGGAACCAGTTTGCCTATCCATTTACATTGCTCCCTTGCACCTTCGGCTGATGCATTTTGGCACCATCTACTTAAAGAGGCCGCTGTTCTAGACCTCCAAAATGGTGAGCTACTGTTAGTGCAGCTTATTGTCCTTGTAGCATACCCAGTTAAGAAGGTTACCATCGAATTATCCTTTCAATGGCCCAGGTCTTATACAGACCCTTATTTGTGTTATTCACTTTTAGACTTGACTTTTTTACTCATGCATTTGGCATTAGTGAGAGCGGGGATCACATGGGAAGTCCAACTATTTGTTCATAGATGTTCCCGTTGAATGAAAATAGATTGTCCTTATTGTAAAGTTGATAAGTCTTGTTAAAGACTCCCTACCGATTCGTTGTGCTAACGGCCCTGCTGGAAATCCTGGAACAAGATGAGGATATTCTGGAATCACAACGGATCAGGAGGGAGTGGTTAACAAGACTAATCAACTTGACAATAAGGACAACCTATTTTCATTTAACGGGAACATCTATGAACAAATATTTGGACATCCCTTGGGATTTCCGCTCTCACGACTTTTGGCAAACATATACATGAATAAAATAGAAGATAATTTCAAGATGGCACCGCTACAACCGGCAGTGCTCATGCGGTACCTGGATGATTACTTCGCACTTTGCTTACATGGAAGAGAAAAACTGGAAGGGTTTCTGCAGTTTGTAAACAAGATTGATGAAAAATTTCAATTCACGATGGAAGTGGAGTAAGGTTAGCGGTTACCGTTCCTGGACGTTGAAGTGATTCGTTTTAATAGGACGCTCAAAAATAAATTGTTAAGAAAGGAGTCCTATGCTGGGATAATACTCAATTTCCGGTCCTATCACAATTAAAGGCTAAAGATAGGAATAATGAGGAGCATTATCATCTGTAGCCTACGTCTAACGGATGTAGAATTGTGGGACGAGAAGCTGGACAAATTGACGAGGATATTCCTCAGCAATGGCTACCTAAACGAAGTGATACAAAGAAACATACGGGCCATGAAAAGCCGATGATAGAACGGGGACTATGACAGAACAGTAAGGACGAT